AAATACAATTAGTGAGGTGAATTCTGAACATGCGAAACACTTTTGGCAAAATGTAACTTGGAACTGAGCGTTTGGCTTGTTTTTTGAAGGGTGTGTGCATTCAGACCCTAGGGAAGAATCCCAAAGTAAATTCCACAGTAAAAAACAAATTTTTACACTCTGAAAGAGTACTGTCCTGTATGACAGGAAAAGGCTGGTCAATAAAATGATGGCACACAGTAACTTGAGCCTTTGTGTGGCCTAGCCCCTGCAAACAGTGGAGCCATTCAGTGATGCTAATGACTGTACTTCCTCCGTGGAATTTAAGTGCTGTTAATATTCAGATACTACTAACTATTCAACTGAATGTACGTGGCCACAAAAATATTATAGTTAGTGTTCTTATTTTTTTTTCAAAAAAACCTTGAACGCTGGAGGAAAGAACAACCTCTTTGTACTAATTGGCTGTTTCAAGACTATTGTAGTGTTTCCTTGCATGTAGTTAACACATCTTTATATATTTTTTGTATAGGAATTTTGTATGAAGGGATTCATAACAGATTTAAATTTTTTATTCACATAAGTTTTGTTCATAGTAGCCAATCTAAGAAGGAAACAATAGAAACTGAGGCAAAAGCTATAATCTACCTAACAACTGGAACTCCTTTTTAAAAGAAGTCACAACTTTGTTTGCTTTAAGTTGTGTGTGTGTGTGTGTGTGTGTGTGTGTGTGTGTGTGTGTGTGTGTGTGTGTGTATCAATTTCCCCATCTTGAACTCATGGCCTCCTGTTCTGGCTTGACTTCTTTGCTCATGGTTAGTGGTCTGCTACTTTAGCCATGCCTCTAATCTGGCATTTCACTGGTTAATTGGAGATGGAATCTCATGGATTTTTTTCCTGCCCAGGCTGACTTCAAATCACAGCCTTCCATTTCTCAACCTCCTTAAGTAGCTAGGACTACAGATGTTAGCTGCTAGTACCCAGCTGCTTTAATGTCTTTAAAGAGTTTAAATGTATTTTGTATAGGGGAAACATTGACCTTTCTTTTTGCCAGTCCTGGGGCTTGAACTCAGGGCCTGGGTGCTGTCACTGAGCTTCTTTTGCTTAAGCTATAGCATTCTACCACTTTAGCCACAGTGCCACTTCTAGCTTTTTCTGTTTAGGTAGTACTGAGGAATGGAACCCAGAGCTTCATTCATGCTAGACAAACACTCTATCATTAAGCCACATTCTCAACCCTAAAATTTACCCTTTTGTTGTTGTTGGTGGTGGGGTACTAGGGTTTGAACTCAGGGCTTTGACTCTAATAGGCAGTTCTCCATCATTTGAGACATACCCCCTCAGCCCTTCTTGCCCTTTTTTTTTGTCAGTTGTGGGGATTGAACTCTGGTTCTGTCCCTCAGTTCTTCAGCGCAAGGTGAGCACTCTACCACTTGAGCCACAGCGCCACTTCTGTTTTTCTGGTCTGGTGGTTAATTGGAGATAAGTCTCATGGACTTTCCTTCCCAGGCTGGCTTTGAACTACAGTCCTCAGATCTCAGCCTCCTAAGTAGCTAGGATTACAGGTGAGAGCCACTGGTGCCCAGCTTTGCTCTTATTTTTTGAGTTTTGCTTTTTGCTGGAGCCACACAGGATTGCAATTCTATTTATGCTTCCTCCTTTAGCAGGGATGAAAGCTATACATATCACCATAGCCAACTTTTTCTGTTGGTATAATGTCTTGCAAATTTTTTCTTTCTTTTGGCCCAGACTGGCCTGAAACTCTGATCTCAGCTCCAGATAGCTAGGATGACAGGCATGTATCAAGGGTATGGGGGAGAGGGATTCTTACAAAGATAGGCTGAAACTGCTATTCTTCCCCATTCTCTGCTTCCTGAGTACCTAAGATTACAGGCATGAGCCACTGGCCCTCGCTGTTTAGAAGGTCAGAATCCAACACAAACTTTCGAAAGGAGATCAAAATGTTACAATCATGTGTAACTTTAATGGTATGTCAACCAACAGTACTTTTTTTTTTTGGGGGGGGTGGTCATGGGGCCTGAACTCTGGGCCCAAACCTACAATATTTTTAACATCTGGAAAATGTCTTGAGATTCAAATGTTGTGTAAACTAGCTTATATGTACAAATAATGTTTAACATTAGTGTAAAAAGAAAATTCTCTACATTAAATAATAGATCAAAATAATCTATGATAGAAGAACTTTAAAAATAGCCTTGTATGGACTAGGAAGGTGGCTCAGTGGTACAGTGCATGCATGAGGCCCTGGGTTCGATTCCTCAGCACCCCATAAGCAGAAAAAGGCAGAAGTGGTGCTGTATCTCAAGTGGTAGAGAGCTAGCCTTGAGCTGAAATGCTGAGGGAGAGAGCCCAGGCCTAGAGTTCTGACCCCACAAGCAGCGAAATAAATAAATAAATAAAATAGCCTTGTAACATCACTACCTGAGAAAATATTTAATTTAACAATAGGGACTACAAGTTACCCAGGAATGTTTTTCCCTAAATCAAAACTTTTGAAAATCATATTAATGTTCATATTCAATGTTCATTTAATTAATTTTTATTTTTGCAGTTCTATTAATTGAACCCATGGCTTTTCACTTGCCAAACAAGTAATCTATCGCTGAGATATGCCATCAGCCTCATATTCTTTCTTGGCAGTACCAGGGTTGAAACTTGGGGCCTTACACTTTTCAGAGAGGTGCTCTATTACTTAATTCATGCTCTAAGCCTCTTAATATTCTATGTGGTGTGTGTGTGTGTGTGTGTGTGTGTGTGTGTGTGTGTGTGTGTGTGTGTGTGCGTGCGCGCGCACACGCTGTGCACGTGCACCCACTCTGGAGCTTGAACTCAGGACTTAGGCACTGTTCCTGACCTTTTTGCTCAAAGCTAGTGCTCTACCAGTTGAACTACACCTCAACATCTGATATTTTGGTGGTTTACTGGAGATAAGAGTCTCCTGGACTTTCTTTGCCCCAACTGGCTTCAAACTACAGTTCTCTGATCTCAGCCTCCAGAGTAGCTAGGGTTACAGGCATAAGCCACCACACTTGCTTCAACATTCTTTTTAAATAGCAAGTGCCTCTGTGTAATTAGAAGTGATTGAATAGACAAAATTTAATTGGCATACTTCCTCTTAAGTACATATTCTCTTTCAAATACATTACTCTTGAATGTACATGTATTTATTTCAAGAAATTCAGCTGAGGGTGTCTTAAATCTAGTTTCAGGGTTTACCAAAACGTAATCTTGCTGATATTACATAAGACTTTGTGAGGGGTTGAGTTCTGGAACAAAGGCTGATACAAGGAATTTAGAGTATGATGCTTAATCACATGCTAAGATTTTTTTTAAAAAAGAGGAAATTGCATAATGTAATAGAGCAAGTGACCTGCAAATGATTAACTCTTTTTTTAGCTTTATGATGAAATAAAGTGTTTAGAAAAAGCAACAATGTTCATTTTGATAGTAGTATTATATTGATATTTCAGAGAAAAGATAAAAATTCTACTTCTGAAAATTGAATACAAATTTATGTAATTATTCTCACTTTTATGTGTACTGATAGAAATTATTATAAGCCAAGAGGAAAGCAAAGAGGCATTCTTTTAATAAAGAATATTATACTCTAGGCAGAAGATGAAATATTAAAGATATTTTTGTAAGCAGTAATATCTTTGGCTAGTCATATCCTACCACAGTAATTTTTAGAGTGTATTCCTGTCTGTGGATTTATTTTTATATCAGACTTCTGAAAATCCCTAAGAAAGAAACATAAATGGAGAATAACTGTATTAGTATCTATAGCAAACCTATAATCATGCTTTGGGCATAAGCAAAGATCTTAGCATATCTATGTAAATATTATTCAAAAATGAGTCATGTGAGTGATATGAATTTTTCCTTTCTCCCTTTCTCCCTCTCTCTTTCTGTTTATCTCTCCTTCTCTTCATCTACTGCTCCCTCTCTTTTTCTCTCCCCTTCTATTTTAGACAGGACTCACTATGTAGCTGGCTTTGAACTCCTGACTCTGCTACCTTGGCCTCTTGAGTGCTAGAGTTAAAAACATGCACTATAATATCTACCTAGTTAATTTTTTTTCTTGATGTGTCCTTTGGTCTTCCTGTTTTGTACTCTTAGCCTTCATAATTAATCTGCCTACTCTATACCAGATAAAGGAATGCTTCAGTATGATCAAAGAGTACTTTATTAAGATATCCCCAATAGTGCCTTCTATGATTGAATTCCAAGTTAGATTTCTGCTTTGCTTTATTATTATCATCAATAATATTATCATTATCTGTAAGTAGCTGTACAAAAGGGTTTCAATTCAACATGTCATTTTATGAGTACAATGCAATCTCAATTAGTGTTACCTCTTCCATCATTCTCTCCCACATCTACGCCCTCGCATCCCCTCAAGCTGCCTGGCTCCATTTTCACATATATACATTGAGTGTTATGACTGTTTTGGCCACCGTTCCTCTCTTTTTTATCTGAATTTCTGCTCTCTAAGCCGTCACATAATTATCATGTCCAGCCCTCAGGTTGACAATATCCCACAGCTCCTTTGTGTGTTTCTTGGCTCCCTGCTTCATGGCCTCTTTGCCTTTTTCTTCTTGACAATACGTTTTTGGAGTGAATACATCATTAACTTCCTGATGGAGGGAGTATGAGACATAAACCTTTGGTTACTTAGGTGGATTAACTATCAGTTCTGTCACACTTGAGTGGCAGTACTAGAGTTCTAGGTTAGAAATCACTATCTGTTACCATTTTGAAGGTGTTGAGCCCTTGTCCTCTAGCTTTAAGCATTTCTCTTGAGAAGTCAGTCACCTGATTTTCACTTGGGGAACTGCAACCTGTTCTTCTATCTGGGAACTTTCAGGATCTCTCTAATGTTTCAAAGTTTCACAATGATGTATAATGGTGTGAGTCTTTCTTAGAATTAACTTTTCTATGAATTTACTGCGTCCTATCAGTCTGGGGATATGTTTTCCAGCTCTGTGGCTGTTTCTTACCTTAGCTTGTTAGTTTCTTCCTCTTCACTGTTTTTCTTTCTGAAACTTGAACATTGCACTTCCTGGATCATTTTTTCTCTTCTGTTTGCCATCTTTCAACTTTTAGTTCTCATTTTTGAAAGACTGTATAGACTTTATCCTTCAAACTTCTGATGAAATTCTTGTACATTTGTGTTAGAACTTTCTAATTTCCAAGATAACTAACTTTATTTTATTTTAATTAGTGTCAATTAGTTGCACAAGGGTGCTTCATTTTAAGTATGTCCATTTCTAGATATAATACACCTTGATCAGTGTTCATCCTTCAAACTTCTCTCTCCTCCCCATCCTCCTTTCTCAACCATTCTCACCAACTTTTCTTGTTCCATTTTGTACATGTAACTGGATTATTATGACTATGTTTGTTTTTCACCCTCTGCATTTGCCCACCCACTCTCAGTACTACCTTGTCCAGACATGTTTCAATTTCCAAATTTTCTTTGTGCTGTATTGCCTGTTAATTGTTCATGTTTTCAGCATGAAACCTTTTATACCAAGTATAATCAGGCTGAAAAATCTACTAATTTTAAACATTAACACTTTGAATATTTCTTCAAAATAGTCTGTCTCTGCATTATGAATTCAGATATCTGCATCTGATTAAAAAAGATTAATGGGCATCAGTGGCTCACATCTGAAATCCTGTATATTCAGGAGGCTGAGATTTGAGGACCTCGGTTCAAAGCCAGCCCATGCAGGAATGTCAATGAAACTCTCCAATAAATCACAAGAAGCAGGAAGTGGAGATGTGGCTTCAGTGGTAGAACCCTAGCCTTGAGCACAAAAGCTCAGGGACTGCCCCAAGGTCCTGAGTTCAAGCCCAAGGTCTGGCAAACAAACACACAAAAATTAATGGTGGATTTTAAATAATTTTTATTTCTATCTTTAATATTTGTTCTGCTTCCTTTGATTTCTGTCTTTCATAGTTGAACCATTTTCAAATTGTTGGGCATTTGGGGTTATCTGCCTATTTTTAAGAGGAGCAAAGGAGGCAACTAAAAACAGGGATAAGATTTTATTACAGAGAGACAAAGGCAACTTCAGCACCTTTGAGTGTTTTCTCCTGAATCATTTGGTTTCCCCAGAGAGGCATGTTCAATTGTCTGTCTAAAGCAGGGGTAGGTATCTGTATAAGCCTGTCAATGTCCTTGAAGCCAGTGAATGGATAATTTATAAGGGGTGACAGACTGGTCTATTCTATATAAACATTCGCACTCATTCTCCCTTCATTTACAATGAAGTGTGTCTTCAGTTTTCTGTGGACAGAAAACAGATAAATGTGATTCTGCAAAGCACAGTGAAGGCAACAATGCTTTTTCAGAGGCTCCAGGAGAAAACCTGTTCTCTCTCTTTCCCTGTTTCTATAGGCTGTTGGCACCTTCAGGCTCATGGCTACATCATTTCAATGTCTGCTTTCTTCCTTATATTATATATAACTAGCAGCTTTGATCTTCCAGCCTTTCCTCTCCAAAACATCCTTGTGAGTATTTCAAGCCCACCTTGATGATACAGAACAGTCCTCGATCTCACTGAACCTAACCACTTCTGCAAGTGTCCTATACCATGTAAATTAACATATATACTGTTTAGGGAATTAGATTGTAGACATCTTTCAATCACCATTATTAAACCTTCTGTGGCTGCTAATGCACATTCCAGTTTAAATTTATGCAATCTCCTATCTTATATTACTTCCTATGTTTCCTCATCTTTGTGTATCTTACCTTAGCCTCTGCTTATTTCAGAAATCGGGTGCTTCTTTAGTTACCTCCCTGGAATTGATTGCACCAGGTGCAACAATCAATTCAATCACCAGGTCTTCCTAAGTCTTTAATCCAGTGGTGTTTATATTTTGATTTTACCCATCTCCACTGTAATAGACACATCAAGACTATTATAGTGGTCCCATACCATATCTCTCCACATTTCAATCTGTAGTAGGTCATATTTCTGTTACTATAACAAAACACTTGAGGCTTGACAACTTAGAAAAGGGCTTGATTTGGCTGAATGAAGCATTGTATTCAATCATCAAAATTCATTGGAAGCTGACTGTCCAAGATCAAATGTTCCCATGTGATCAGCCTCTGGCAAGGTCTCATTTGGTGGGAATGGGAAGGCTGAGTGCAGGAGAAGACCATATAGATGGGATAGGAAGCCCAAGAGGGTTTGAGAGCCTTTTTTCCCCAAATAAAATTACTCTTTGAGAACTAACTGCATGAGACAAATATTAATTGTGACCTAGGGCCATGCCACCAGTTAGCTAATCACCTCCAACTGAGCACTATCTCTTAAATGTTCCATTGGGGAGAGCAGACGACCTTTTGGAGGACAGACTTCATCTAAAGACATGGAGCACACCTATATTTTACATCCAAGCCATCCTCCAAACAGTAACCAGAGCAATGGCTGTAAATAAAAACTAATCATGTTACTTACCCTAGCTTCAGTACATTTCTTCTTACTTGCCCAGCCTCGTCTTAAGCTATCCCTTCCCCTACCCTGGTTTTCTAAGTGTGGATGGCCTTTCAGCTCCTGGAATGCATCAAAGTTCATTTCCACTCCAATGCTTCTGCATTTGTTATTAGCTTGGCTAATTCCACAAATTCAAGGACACATTCTCTAAGTCTTAGACAAATATTGATTCTCTTGTAATATCCTTTTATAGTCCCTTGAGCTTTCTCTTCGAACATCCATCATTTTCATGTATTCACTTCTTTTAATGTTTTATTATGTCGCATTTCACAGCAGTTTTAGATTTACAGGAAAATTGATCTAATAGTACAAAGTTTCCACATACTCTCTACATTCCACAGTTTCTTCTATCATAAAGTAATATGGTATATTTGTTAGAACTGATGAGTCAATATGTACATAATATTGTTAACTAACACCCATTGATTTTTATCAGAATTCTCTGTTTTGTACATTGTGGTCTATTCTGTTACCAACTGTCTGACACCAACTGGGTGTTCTACAATTAATTCTTTATCAAAACCTCTCTCTCTTTCTCTCTCTCTTTTTCTCGCAGTTGAACTTGGGGCCATGTGCTTGCTAGGAAGGCAAGGTACTGCTAAGCCATCCTCTAGCCTAGAATTCAATTCATTTCTGATACTAACTATCCACCATTCACAAAGTGGGTAGATTCCATAAGGTAAATGAAAAGGTTGCCAACAAAATCGTCCAACTTCCTCATGCTATCTGACTAGACATAAATATGAAGGCTCCTACATCCTCCTTTCAGGTTCAATAATTAGCTAGAATGACTCACTAGAACTCACTGAAAGCACTCTACTTAGTACTGTATTACGGTTCTATTGTAAAGGACACAAATGAGCAGATGAAGAAATACACAGGGAAGGCCCAGAATGGTCCCAAGTACAAGAGCCTTTGGACACATTAGTTGGGGTTGGATGGCATGACTCTCTTCAGTGCCTAGATAAATCCACCAATTGGGCTATTTCCTTGAGTCTTGGCAGCCAGAAGGTTTGTTTTTATATAGAAAGAGGGAATTCCATTATAAAAGCACAGTTGATTAAATTCATTTGTCCAAGAGTATAAACTCAAACTTCTTTGGAGGTCATTGTTTAAAGCTGAAAGTTCCCGGTAATCACATGCTGGATGTTTCTAGTGACCAGTTTCCACCTCAAAATTTTCTAGTCTTATTTCACTCCACTGCCATCATTGATGACATTGATAAAACAAAGACTTGCTCTTTTGCTCACGGCTAGTGCTCTACCAGCTACAGCTCCACTTCCGTTTTTCTGTGGGTCATTGGAAATAAGAGTCCAATGGACTTTTCTACTGGGGCTGGTTTTGAATCTCAGCCTCCTGAGTAGCTAGGATTACAGGTGTGAGATACCAGTGCCCAGCAGCAAAGACATTTTTATCGCTCAGGAAATGCTAAGGGTTTTTGAAGCTCTCCTGTGGGTAGGAACTAGGGAGAGTTGCTATATATAAAAATTATATATAGCAATTATATATATGGCTTTTGACAAATATTTTTTTGTACAAAGGGTTAAAAATCCCTGGACTTCACCTGCTATCCCTCTCAATCTTCCCCAACTCCTGGCAAACTTTGATATTTTTTCCTTTACCATTTTTATAATTTTGCCTTTTCTGCATTTAGTATCTTTGAAATCATACAGTATATGAAGGGCTTATTTCACTTTGAAAAATTCATTTAAGGGACATGAATATGGTAGAAATGGTAGAGCACTTGCCTAGAAAACATAAGACCCTAATTTCAATTCTTAACACCTTCTAAAAAATGCACTTAAGAGTCAATCACAGCTCTTCTTTTCTTCTCTTTTCAGTGTGGTATTGTATTTTAAATTTGCACTTCTCTAGCGTTATATGATATTGAACTTTTTCATGTATTTTTCTGTCAACTGTATATCTTTTGATTAGATGCCTATTCAGACCTTTCATCCAATTATAATTGGCTTGTTTTCTTATTATTGAGATTAAAGTATTAACAAATATATTCTGAATGGCTTTTCAAGTGATTTTTACAATTTTTTGTCAGTAGCATGCCTTTTTCTTAACATTGTCTTTCAAGAGTAAGCTTTTCATTGAAGTTCATTTGTCAATTTTTCTCCCGAAGACTGTTTTTGTTGCATCTAAAAACCTTTTTTTATGCACACAAAACCTCCTAGATTTTTTCCTGTATTATCTCCCAGAAATATACAGTTGAGCATCTTCAATTGATATCTGCAGTACATATCAAGGTAATTTTTCTAAAGAGTCCAAGGTCTGTGTCTCAATTCCTTTTTTATATGTGGAAATCCTTTTTGTTCCTTCACTACTTAGTGAGGAGATGTTTCCATTATTTCCTTCCCCTCTCACGGTCTTTCCTTCCCAATCCCCCTTCCCTTTTCTTTTGCAATGCTGGGGGTTAAATCTAGGACCTCCAGCTTGTTAAAGATGTGCTATACCTTTAAGTTCTGTTCTCAGTGGAGACATTTATTTTTTCCTATGAATGCTTTTGATCCTTTGTAAAGATCCTCTGGATGTATTTGTTGGGTTTATTTCTTGCCTTTGTATTGTATTTCATTGATGTATTTGTCTGTTGTCTTGCCCAAAGCACCCTCCCTTGATTATTGTAGTTATTATCTTTTGAGTTGGACATAATGGACATGATGTTTGTGTCTTTTCCTTTAAATCTTTCTGTTGAAGCCTATTCTACAGTGATATAATTTGGAGATGAGGCCTTTGGGACATAACTTTGTCAGAAGGATACAGACTTCATGATGGGATCAGTGCCCTTATAAGAATAGACAGGAAGGAAGATACTGCCTTTATTTCCCTTCCTTCTTCCTTTCCCCTCCGTCTGGCTTCCTCCTTCCCTTTTCTGAATCATGTGAATATGCAGTGGGACAATAGCCACTTGGAAACTTGGGAATGGGCCCTCAGTAGACCTCAGATCTTCTGCCACCTCGACCTTGGCCTTTCCTGCTTCCAGAACTGGAACTATGAGAGCTAAAATACCTGGTCCTTGTTAATTTGTCTTAGTAGCCAAACTAAAACAATGTCAGACCTCATACTTTTTCTCTTCTTCAGTATTAGCTTTTTTATGTCTTTTCCTTTTTCTACGTAAACTTTAGAATCAGTTTATTGATATCCACAAAATGTCTTGCTAGGATTTGGTTGAAATTTTGTGAAATCTACACAGCAAATTGGAAATGACTGATACCTTAACAATATTGCATCTTTCCATCTATGAATGTGGGATTTCTTTCTTTCTTTTTTTTTTTTGTCATGGGGCTTGAACTCTGGGCTTGGGCACTGTCCTTGTGCTCTTCAGCTCAAGGCAAGTGCTCTACCACTTAAGCCACAGCACCACTTCCTGAATGTGGGATTTCTTTCCATTAGAGCTTTGTTACCCCAGTAGAATTTTGTAGTTTTTCTCATTACACACAATCTATTAGATTTATAGCTAAAAGGGCTGGGAAGGTGGCTCAGTGGTAGAGTGCTTGCCTTGCATGCATGAAGCCCTGGGTTCCATTCCTCAGCACCACATAAGCAAAAAGAAAAAAGCCGGAAGTGGCGTTGTGGCTCAAGTGGTAGAGTGCTAGCCTTGAGCTTAAGAGCTGAGGGACAGCGCCCAAACTCAGGGTTCAGGCCCCACAACTGGACCCCCCCCCCAAAAAAAGATTTATAGCTAAATACTTCATTTTATTTATTGGTGGGTTATGGGGCTTGAACTCGGTCTGGGTGCTGTCCCTCAGCTCTTTAGCTCAAGGCTAGCGCTCTACCATATAAGCCACAGTGCCACTTCTGGTGGTTTATTGGAGATAAGACTCTCATGGACTTTCCTGCCCAGGCTGGCTTTGAACTGTGATCTTCAGATCTCAGCCTCCTGAGTTGCTAGGCATGAGCCACCGGCACCTGGCTTTCATATTATTTTATAAGTAGTAGCCTGTTTGAAATTAACAAATGGTTGTTTATTTTTGGTATATAGAAAAACAATCAACTTTTCTGTTAATCTTCAGACTTCCCATAATTGCTTATTAGCTTCTTTTTGTTAATTCTTGGAGATTTTCTACATAAACAATCATGTCATCTGAGAACAGAAAGTCTTCTTCCTTTTTCAGTGACATAATTGTTTTTAAATGTGTATTTCATTACTTAATTCATAAAATCCCTGCAGACAAAAGTTTTAATCCTCTTTGTCAAAGCTTTCCTGCTCATATTTTTACTAGCTTCATCATGGATTGTATTAGTGTAGCATCAAACAATTTAACCAGAAATAAACTGTTTGTATGTTAATGCTGTTTTGCACTTAACAGCACTTCTTGATAATTAGGAATACTCCCGGGTATTCTTTGGAATGGATGTTGCATCTTTCTTACAGATTGATGTTGATTTAAAGATCAAGATTATATTAATTAAATTCTTCTAACAGTTCCTGGCAGATAACCCTCAAGAAATCATAGTCTGTGTTTTGTATTAGGATACACTGATTATTCTTGCGTAATGCAACATTATCGTGCTCAGTAGCCAATGAACATTAGCTCAGGTGAACAAAGAGTCATAAAAGCTAAAGAAAAAAAAATTAGAACAGGGCAGGGTAGAGAGATGAACGTCTCAGCACTCGGTGAAGAGCAAGAGGGTAGTGTCAGTAGTCTCGTTATGGGACAGAGGAAGACAAAGGCTGGGAGAGAAAGGATATCTCCAAGGAGGAAACCCGGGTTGCTGGGACCTTGTTTTGTCGAAGGTGGCATGAACCAAGTGCCCCTAAGCGGAAATACAACAGTGAGTGAGTGACACAGAGCCCGTGGGCACGGATTTGGGGCATGCACCGAAAGCAGAGCGCGCAACCCTCCATGGCCCGGGGTCCGCACAGCCCACAGAAGGGGCAGCTCGGCACTCCCCGCCCCGGCAGCTGCGCGCCGGCCCCAGGCCCCGCCCCCGTGCTGTCTCACAGCCGGTTACCATGGAGACGCGAGGACCTTCTGGCCGCGCGCGCTTGCGCGGGCGGAAGGCGGGGGCGGCGCCGTGACGCGCTCGCGGGCGGTCCTCGGGATCGCGGTCGCTCTCCTTCCCCTCGGGGCTCGGAAGTCGGTACCAGTAACCAGAGGCGGCGGCGACCAGCGGGTCCTTGTGCTCGAGGTGAGCCGCGCCCAGGGGGAATCTAGGGCCACGGTTTGACGTGCGGGGCGGGGGACCCTGGCGCAGCCGCCCACTTCCCGGCGAGCGTGCCGGTGTTGGGGTGGCAGCGACGCGGGCCGGGACGCCCCCTCCTCAGGGGGTGCCGCCGTTCTCGGGCCGGGGCCGGGCCGGGAAACTTTGCCCTGGCGGCTGCGCTCCGCCTGCTGGGGCCCCCCACGGCTTCCGGGGTCCCGCCGGGGCTGGGGTGGGCAGAGTCGTGAGGCCCAGCCGGGGCGCCTCCGCCCCCCGGCAGCCCGCGCCCGGGCTCCGGGACGGGGGAGCGGCCCCGCGTCCTTGTTCCTGCGGGCCGAGGTGGAGGTGGGGCGGCGAGCCGGCGTCCGCCCCTGCGCCCCGCCGCCTCGGGCTCCGCGCTCGCCGGCCCCCGGCCCGGCCGGCCCCGGGAAGCAGGAAGGAGCTGTGTGCTCTGTGGGCGCCGCCTGGACGCGGGCAGGGGGGGAGGGCGGCTCGCCGTGCGCCCAGGGACCGGGAAGTTGGAGCGGCCGGACGCGCGCTTCCCCGCGGGCTGGTGTCCAAGGCCGTGGCCCCGGCGGGCCGGTGACGCACCGCCTTCCGTTCGAACCCCGGGAGAGTGCAGGCGTTCGGCTCTGCAAACTTGAGTTTCTCCAGAGTGGAACTGCGGAGTAGCAGTTTCGGTTCTAACCTACTGGTTGATTTATTTAATGTTGATGGTGTTATCTGCACGCTGGGGTGGTTTTGCTTCCCCCATGAAGTTAACTCTGGGCGCTCTTTAACATGGTAAACTCACTTGTCTCAGAGACAGTTGATTCCTGGGGAGAGTTAACGACGGAAGGTAACGGCAGCCCTGGTAAATTACCTTGATTTTAAAATATCACTGTGATCAGTTTAAAGCTCACGTTTGTTCATTCTTTTCATTTTCTTGGTTGAGGTCTAGGACAAATAGTAAAAACGTGCCCAGTTACAAAAAGTATAGTTCTATAAACTGTAGAAGGAATAGTTCTATAGACTTGTGTGGTTATTGGTACATAAGTATTACAGGTCAAGTGGTTTGTGCCACAGTGTAAAAATGAGGAATGACTGAAGTGGAATGACTGAAATAATCTAAATAGTCTCCTTATAATTCATTTTTAACTTTGGGAGCATCAAGTTTTAGTTATGTGTTAGGCACTGTAAGAAATGATGTAAATATCACAACCAAAAGGGAAGGAAGGGTTGTTGCCATGTATTTTTTAAATAGTTGCTCTGAAATGAGCATGACTCAATTATTCTTTTCCTGTTTTTGACGGATTTGGGTACTTTTTCTAGTTAATAAATGCCAAGAGTCTAAAAAAAAACAAAAAACCAACAAACCAGGTCTCCCCTCAAACTGATATTGAAAGAGTGGAAAAACAAGAGCATGTTGTAGAGCAGTATATTAATATTAAGCATGCTAACATTTGTGTAAATGGGAAGAAATAGCAGGACCTGATGACTCAGCACCTGTAATCCTAGCTACTCAGGAGGCTGAGATCTTGAGGGTGGATTCTCAGAGCCAGCCAGGGCAGGAAAGACCAGAACTGTAGCTCAAGTGGTAGAGCATCATACTTCAGCAGAAAAAGTTCAGGATCAGTGTCCATGTCCTGAATTCTGTCAATCTGAGTGTACACACACACACACACACACACACACACACACACACACACACACACACACACACACACACACACACATCCACGCACCCTACCTTAGGATGGAGAGAGGGGAATATATCCACATACAAAGAGCCACCCCCCCCATCAGTGCCCATGTCCTGAGTTCAGTTAAGCCTCAGAACACCCCCTACACACACCTACCTCCACTCTCCCTACCCCGTTCCAAATATTGAATGACTGCTAAAATATTGTGCACTATGTTTTTTTCCTTCAAGTCTTTGGTGTTATCGTTAGTGCATATATATACATATATATGTATATATATATATATATATACATATATATGTTGTTACTTTCTTGCAAGTACATTTTCACACTAAAGACCTAAAGATATGCTGCTGTGACCATCTGAATTTATAGTTTGCTAGATGTAGCAAACTCATTTACCATATAAATTATACTAGCTTACACTCCCACTGGTAATGTATGTCTCCCAAAGCCTTGTTTTAAGAGAATGTTGTCAAATATTTTCCTTTAGTGATTCCAGTAGGTGAGAAATGGAATCCACTGCGTGAGAATTAATCATCCTACCTGAACTAGCATTCATGTGTTCATATTTCTTTTTTTTTTTTTTTTTTGGGTCCGGTCGTGGGGCCTGAACTCTAGGCCTGGGCGCTGTCCCCCAGCTCTTCAGTTCAAGGCTAGCGCTCTACCACTTGAGCCACAGCGCCACTTCCAGCTTTTTTCTTTTTGCTTATGTGGTGCTGAGGAATCGAACCCAGGGCCTCAGGCACGCAAGGCAAGCGCTCTACCACTGAGCCACCTTCCCAGCCCTCATGTGTTCATATTTCTTAGTGGCTGGTCATCAGAATCTTTTTGGATATTTCTTTAAATATCTAAAATTCCCTGTATGAGATTTGTGTCAGCCTGGGGAGCTATTTTTGTCTAGTGCCCTCGGTATTTCTGATCTGATGATTAGCTACATTTGAGAAACACTGCTTTGGAAAACTGTTTCAAACTTTATCAAAGTCTATTCACTAGGAATATTTATTAACCCTCAGTATACTAAAAAGCAAGGACATCAATACTTTCCCATATAGGGCCCTGCTTTGGAAAACTGTTTAAAACTTTATCAAAGTCTATTCACTAGGAATATTTATTAACCCTCAGTATACTAAAAAGCAAGGACATCAATACTTTCCCATATAGGGCCCACTGGTATTTTTTGTTTACATTTTTAGATCATTTCATAAATAATTTGTAGAAGCAAAAAGATGATGAACAAAGTTAATTTAAAATTTTAATACATTTCCAACACGAGAAGTCCTGACTATTCCAGATTTCCTGGTTTTAAGGTTTCATAGCTAATATGGACAACATGTTTGAATTCAACTAATTGCTCATTGACAAAAACATTCCACGTTTCAAATACATCTCTAATATGTTCTAGTTTATTGTTGTTTTAATTCTTACAACAGGCTTCAGGCACTTAGGATATTCTTGCGGATGATTAACTTAATGAGAATCATATTTCTTTCTACTGATTAGAAATGTGTTGTCTACCCAATGATTCTTAACTTTGGGAAATTTAAATTAGGATAAAAAAATTTGTTTTTATGAACAGTAGAGATTTAAAAGTTTCTAGTAAACCTGTATGTATGATAGATTTTTAATATGTTAAAAAAATTCCCTTTTACTTTTTTGAAATATCTCTAAGGGGGGGGCACAAAAATTGAAATGGAATCCATTGACCTCTGTTCTGCTGAGAGTTGAAGGTAGTTCTTGGACCCCACCCCAGACCTGTTGTTCCCCACCTTGGTCCTAGTTTATGCTGCTAGCACTCAAGACTCAGTTATTAACAAGATTTCCAAATGATTTTTACTGTACTTTAAAGATGAGGAATCATACTGTTTTAGGGCCTAAAGTTGGTTTTTACTTTGATACCATATGGTAGTACTTTAGACTAATGCTGTGTGCATTTCAATTGTTTTTGTGCCAGTGCAGTAGTTTTGTACTATTTTTCACTTATACTTAATTGAAACTAATTAAATTACTTTGCTTAAATAAAGGAATAGTTTGTTACACCCCATTCATATGGAAATGATTTAGGGGTCTAAACTGTTCAAACTTCTCGTTTGACTCAAAAACAATTTTTTTATTCCAATTAAATGCCTTACACATGAAGCTGAGACCCTGGAAAGCAATGCTGAGACTAGGACTCAAGTATTTTGGTTCTTGCCATGCATTTTTTTGAAGATTAGTGATTATGCAGTTCTGAATTTTCACAATCCAACAATTTTTTTTTTTTTTGCTGCATAGATTAAGTAAGCAACCAAACATAAATTAGTCGTGTAATTTATATGTGTAGTTGTAGTGGGTTTGAGACGGGTGAGGCCAGTGAGCATTGCCATTCCAACTGGGAACTTCATTAGTGTGTTCCCTACTTTATTAATCGAGTATGTATTTCAGCTAGAAAGAAAAAAATGATTAGATGTTCTAAATAGCATATACTATATTTGAATTGTGGGAGCCTTAGGTCTGTAATTTTCATATTGTCCTGAGGGGGTTGAAGTCACAAATGGGAATCTTGATTCTTCTGCAGTTATAGGGGTTTTATTGTTGTCTTCAGATGTTTTGAAGTAAGCCAGATATATTGATAAATCTCGTAATAGGGTTATTTTCTAAGACTCAGGGACATATTAGGTTTAGAGATTTTTTTCATAGAACATAAAGAGAGTCCAGGAAGTTTGAAAAAGTATAAGATTGGTCAAACCTGGTTTAAAGGTAGGTTGAGAACGTTAGTTCATTCTAGAGAATATAGAAAGCAACTATTGGCATGAGAAAGGTTGTGATCAAATTCAGGTAGATGGCAAGTGCTTTGCTGACTGATTTCAGAAGCCTTGGGAACAGTATCTTTCTATTGATTACTCTGTCTTCTATCAATTACCTTAGTACTTGATGGATTTCTTCACTGATGTAATAGTTTTCAGAATCTTATTCTCATCAGTTGTGAAGTTTCTTAAGGCTAGTTTGTGGTTCTTAAAAGAAGGTTAAGTAGTTCTGCCACTCAGTTTCAAATAAAAGATTTACATACATTATTTAGGCCATGCTGCAGCCCCTGTGACTTGCAAGTTCTTGGTGGATCTGTAGAAAGCTAGGAAATGTACGTTGACAGTAGACAATTCTGTTCAGGTAACAACTCTGTTAACAACTCTGTTACCTGAACTTGGGAGTTGAATCCTCATTTCCATGGGATGATGTGCCATTACCTATGATTGTTCAGTGTTTGATTTGATAAGTAATTAAATGGCATGCTTATTTTTGAAAGTGAGACATTTGTGTTTTTCCAGCTGAGGTATTAAAGTTAAAAGCCCATACAGTTTCAGTCCTAAAATACAAATACAGGTTTGGGTGATTTTCCTGGATTTTAGAAACACTATCATCTCATACAATATGAGATCACTTTGGGAGGCAGAGAGGCTGATCTCAGTGACTGCAAGCTAATGTTGAACCTGCCAAAGGAGGTCCTTGATGCACCAGTTGGCTCTTTCTGATAAGCCTCGCCTGCAGTGTCCCATCTCTTATCACTACTTATGGACAGGATTTTTACACTGAGAAAAATTAGCACTGGAAAGCTGGTGTTCACATATAGATGCTGATGGTATTGGAAAGGGAAAGGCGGTTGATTTGAATAGACATTTCTCTCTAGGACAAATAAGATGCAGAGTTAATAAAATATGCAAATGGTTAAACATGAAAACATGATACATGCAAATCAAAATTCAGTAAGATGCTCTTCAAATCTACTAGCATGACTGGATTCAAAGTCACATTGACAATGAATGTTGGTGAGGATATGAGAAATTGGAATCTTGATATATGGGAATGTAAAGTAATGCAGTCCTTTTGGAAAGCAATTTGACAATTCTTCAAAAATTATCCACAGAATTACCATATTTAGCTAGCAGTTACATACTTGTCTGTATACCAAAACAATTTTTAAAGACATGTCTTTACACAAAAACTTACATAAGCTTATATATTATTTTCCATTAACACAAATGTTAATTAGCACTATTAACATTATTCATAAAAGCCAGGAAGTACAAATATGTCATCAGCTGCTTAATGTATAGACACAGTACCCAATGTACACCCAGTGTACCACACTATTTACCTGTAAAAGAACTGATGTAATGATGTATGCCCCAAGAGTGAACCTTGAAAATACTACATTGTATGAAAGACACAAGACCCAAAAGAGCACATATCCTATGCTCCTGGATTAAGTACAGGTGAATTTAATGATTGATAAATCAGAAGCAGGAGGTGTGTGTGTGTGTGTGGTTGCCTGGAAGTTAAGGGAGGGTGAAATGAGGTATGAAGCTTTCTTTCCTAGCTACTTAGGAGGCTGAGATCTGAGGAGAGTTAATGTTCAGAGCCAACTGAGGAAGGAAAGGCCATGAGACATCTCCAATAAACTACTCAGAAAAGGCTGGAAGTGGTGCTGTGGCTCAAGTGGTAGAGTGCTAACCTTGAGCCAAAGAAGCTCAGGGACAGTGCCCAGGCCCTGAGTTCAAGCTCACACACACTCACAAAATGATAAAAATGTATCCCTTACTCTCATTATCTATCTCCTGAAAATAAAACTGCCACAGAACATATATAGCACACATACTGTGATAAGGTTTTGTGTGTGTGTGTGTGTGTGTGTGTGTGTCTCCTACTTTTATGTTTTGTTGTTAGAAGGAAATATCATCTGCAGTGACCAAGAGAATTGTCCTAACATTGGTCTCTTAATCCTGGTTTAGTTGCTTTTATGAACTTGTATAAACAAGGACTTGATATAACTTTTCTATGATTTTCTAAACTTATGAAATGAAGGGAATTGTACTTGAAGACAACTTTATTACCTATGATGAATATAGTTTAAAAATATTGGGAGGTTGAGGTGCCAGGCCATAGCCTACATTCTTCTGTTTTATCAGTTCAGATTTTTTTTTTACTGTATTAAACAGTTGTTCTTGTTTAAAAGTATATATTGCTGTCAGTGCATACTGTGTCAGTTTCTAAGACATTTGAATAATTGTTTCTTTTTCTTTAGAAAAATTCTGCAAAAATGTCTCTCTATCCATCTCTTGAAGATTTGAAGGTAGACAAAGTAATTCAGGTATGTTTAAATACTTCAAAATTTTATTTTTTAAAACATTTTTAACATATATTAGTTGTACAAGAAGGATTTCACTATGACATTTTGTATATATTATATGTATACACATATACATACATACATACACAATATATCCTGATCAAACTCAATTCCCTCTAACATCCTTCCTTAACCTCTTCCTCCTTAAAAAGTTTTAACAGGTCTCATTGTTGTATTGTTGTAGATGCCAGTAAGCTCCTTGGATCATATTTAACCTTATTGACCTTCATTAGCTCTCACCTCTCCTGTTGTAAACCTTCCTGTCAGTCAAAGCTTTTGTCACTAGCCTGTCATTCATTTTTTTGGTGTGAACTATTTGTACTGAAATTTAAAAAATACTCTTAACATACAATTTAATTACTTGTGTGGTTAACCAAGAACTACAGATAGATTTATATAATTTATAAACCCTTTATTCATTTCTATTATATACTAAAAGAGTACAAAAGCCTAGTAATTATGTTTTTTATTTCACTGTGAATAAATGGCCATGGGATATTGTGTTTTAACAGTTAAACTCTTCAAATACTGCTTGGTTTGTCTAATTAAAAATTAAGATTTTATATATGTAAGTTGAAATAGACCCATCTTTTCAGGTAGTCATAGTTTTGTGTAGAGTTGGTATATCTTTAGGGGGGGTCTTTAGGTATAAGTCTACATAATAACTGGGAGCCTTCTCTCTGAAGTTAGATTGCAGAGATTTGGAAGAACTGAGGTAAAAAGCACAAGAATGTACAATGGTTTCTTTTCTTTCAGAGATCAGCAAAGATTATAGTCTTTTTAACTGTAGTAAGTCAGATTTTTATAGTTCTTTACGTGTAACTTTTAGCTTTATAATAAGACAGATGCTTCTGTTTAAGAAAATAGGGAGTTGGCATCAGTTCTTGCTGTTGTGGAAACTGTGGCAGTAGATGGGCAGATTGCTGTGAGGACAGTTATTTTCTGTGATAGATTCAGAGTGGGTATTAAAATGTGGTTTGTAAAGTCTCTGAAATCTGCAGTTTAGCTGCCAAGGCTTTGATGTTTCTAAGTTTCCAGTGGCTTGCTATTCATTTTAAATGCTGTAACATTTCTTTCTTTGTTACTTTGTCAAGTTAAGTTCATCTGAACAGGCACTCTTTTCTTTTCATAAAGCTTTTATCTGTCATGTTTAGCTTTGTAAAGTAACCATTAAACGATTAATCTGACACCAGTACATTATCTGCTAAAGATTTGAGAAGAATGTAAGGAATGATCAATTTTTTTAAAAATCATAATTGACTTTGTGTAGAGTTTTTGCTTGTGTCAACATCAGTTTTTTTCTACGTTGCCAATGTTGGGCTGAAAAAGAGGGCTACTATATAGGTCTAACCCTTTAAAGAGAAGCAAATTATATGCATATTTCCAATAGAGAATCTTTTATGTTCAGAGCAGAAAGCTAGCTGCTGGGAGATAGTGAATGGGGATGGGGAACCATGATTCTTACTCCTCCTGGATGGGAAAGTATTCTTCACATAGACTAGACATTACAATCTTGACCTCTATTTTTTTTTGGGGGGGGGGCCTGAATTTTCTAACATAGATGATAGTTAAAATTTGTTTTTATTCCTGAGATGGCCCTGAAAAGGTTTTATAGAGGAATAGATAGTGTTCATTTTCTTACCTATTGGCCTTTTGTACAATAGCAAAGTTGGTAGGTGTTGTGTTTATTTTTTGCTGTCACTGGGGTTTGAACTTAGTGCCTTGGGCTTCCCAGACTGGTTCACTCACTCTATGGTACTTTACGACTTGAGCCTGGCTTTTAGCCAGGTTGATTATTTTAGAGACAGATAAAAGTTGACTTTTCTTTCCTGGTCTGGCTTCAAACTGATATCCTTCCAGATTTCAGCCTTTTTAGTAACTAGGTTACAGGCCAAAATTTGTATTTTATAAAACTCTTTTACAATAGCCTTTGGACTTAAGCTTCCTTCTATGTTTTCATGGCTTGATAGCTCATTTCTTTTTAGCATTGAATGGTATTTGTTTTAGAAATTCAAGAAAATGGCTAGTTGGCTACTAATTCCTTTTAGTTGTTATTTGGTAAAACAACTTCCAAAATTCAAAATGAATTATTTGTAGTTGTAAAGATTTCCACGGTGCTTGTGTTTTAATTTAGAAGGCTTAAGAAATTTTAAAATGATGAATTTTTAAAAATATTACAGTATGTTAGAACATTTACAGTCCAGCTCAAAGCTTTTATATGTGTGCTTACTTAAAGTAAGCTTCTACCTCTTTTAGCTTGAGAACACTCTTGTGAATAGATTTCAGAGTTGGATTGAGAAATAAATATAAGCTTAATATCTTAATTAGACATTTCTAAATCAGCAGTAATTAGGAATTGAGGAATGCTCATACAACTTACTACAAATAGCTGTGAATGACACACTATTTCAGAAAATACCAAATACAACAAAGCTGTGAAACCCGGAGAAAGGGAGGAAGCCATATGCTCAGTATGAACAAGAGGAAGTCCCATACATACTTTATCCAAGCAGTTTTGGCAAATTTAACAGTTAACAAGTTACATTGTTACCATTCTTTTATGTTACTTGTAAAACTACCTTTGCATAGTTTATATTAAATCCTTCCTGTATTGACTAAATGAAGATAAAGATTATTTCAGTGGGATATGCTGAAATGAAAATAAAAATCGGCAATTTAGTGATCTTTCTGATATATAACTTTTAATATGAATAGGGTTGAGTTGAGCTTTTTTCTAGTGCACATGAAATGTTTTTATTTGGAGCAGTTAGTAAAAGAATAATGAAGATGTGAAACATTTTGTCTGTTCTGAAAAATATTAATTTATAGTAGTAGACAAACAATGCTTGTAAGTTATATAGAATAGTACTTACTCAACTTACATGCTAGCCTTAAAGATACATAGAATCCGAAACACTTATGATCTGCAGATTGCTTTGAAAAAGTCATTAAAGAGCTTGAAATGAAACCTTGTTGAATAAAATTTCAAGGTTTATTGCCTTTTTGGAAGTACTGGATTAACATAATCACGTGTTGGTAGAACTTTCTTCTTTTCTCTTTCAGGCTCAAACTGCCTTTTCTGCAAATCCTGCCAACCCAGCAATTTTGTCGGAAGCTTCTGCTCCCATTTCTCAAGATGGAAGTAGGTTTACAGTTTTAGTCCATTCTTCCAGAGAAATATTTTGTGGAAATAAGAAATTAGAAATTATATTTAATATTTTTACAAACTATATAACATTTGTGGTTAAAAGTCTAAGAGCAGTCGGGCACTGGTGGCTCATGCCTGATGTCCTAGCTACTCAAGCGGCTGAGATCTGAGGTTCTCGGTTCAAAGCCTGGGCAAGAAAGTCCCTGAGACTCTTATCTCCAATAAACCACAGAAAACCAGAAGTGGCGCTGTTCTTGCCTTGAGATGAAGAGCTGAGTGACAGTGCCCAGGCCCAGATTTTAAGCCCCACGACCTACCAAAAAAAAAAAAAAAGTCTAAGCAATAAGAAAAACAAATGGTTATTTCAAAAAATAACCCTTTATATATGTAAAGAGTGAGAAGTATGAATATATGTTTTATAGCTTAATGAAAATTAAGTTTAGTCTGATTCCTACAACTGATATTTTTAATGAAAAAACTTCACATGGAAATTCATTTTCCACACTGGTGCTCTTGAACTTCTGTTGTTTTTCCCTGTCAGAGGAGCTTCTGTGTCTTCCAGCCACCTCCTTTTGGTGCTTTTTTTTAGCTAAGAGTCATTTTGATGTGTGTGTCTGGCTCTGGGTCCTTTTTTCTTTAAGGTTCAGAGAAATTCAGGACACAGTCTCTAAATAGTATGACTTCAGTCAGTGTAAATATAAAGTAGGTGTTTGTGGCCTATTAAGGCCTGGGTTCTGTCCCTTAGCTCTTAAGCTCAAAGCTGGTACTCTACTACTATTTTTGAGCCACAGCTTCACATACAGCTTTCTGCTGGTTAATCAGGTAAGAGTTTCATGGACTTTATTTCCCAGGCTGGATTCAAACCTTGATCCTCAGATCTTAGTTTCCTGAGTAGCTAGGATTACGTTGTTTAGAAAATCCATTTTCAGTCACACATATATAATGTATAAGCATTCAGAAGTATATATACCTATTCAGAAGTTAAAGACATTTTAATCTTTAAACATATTTCCATGATTTCATTGGAATGTGATTAATATTCCTAAAATGTTAAATTGCTAAGTAAATTTACAAACACATTGTTTTTCTTGATAAGAGTTGTTCTATACTCATGTTAAAAGAACTAAATGTAAGGTCGTTGGCTCAACAGCTAGACATTTTGATCAGCTTTGAATTGGAGAACAAGTGATAGTTTTACACAATTACTAATGAATATAGGTTTAAGACACAGAAAAGACAAAGTAATATATTTGGAAGACATTATTTCTACTTTAGAGTAGTTGTCTGTGTTCAAGGGTTCTACAACTACATATTAAAACAACTGCAGAATGAAAAATACTAGAATTAAGAAATTAAACTGTAGTGTGAACATGTACAAAGATTTCTTTAAGTCTTTTTACTATACAATAGCTGCTGTGTGTGTATTAAGAATTAAAAGTGACATAGCTGTGATTTGAAATATACAAGAGGATGTGCACAGGTTATATGTAACTATGTCATTTCATGTAAGATTTGTACCAAGTCTTAGGATATATGAGGAGTTCGTGAAACCAGTTCCTTGTGGGTACCAAGTGCTAACTTTTAGAAATCTGAGATTATTTTATGGCTTTCCCTTGAAAGATTTTTCTATTGTTTCCATTCTAATTTATTATATAGATAGATGGATGCCTCTCTAAATGCATCCTAGATTTTTTTAAAGTTTAATATAATATTTTAAAATTCAAGAAACCCATATTATTATTTTGCGTATTCTCCCTATATCATTCGTGTTAGATCTCTATCCTAAACTGTATCCGGAGCTCTCACAATACATGGGACTGAGTTTAAATGAAGCAGAAATCCGTGCAAATATGGCTATGGTTCCTGGAGCACCAACTCAGGGGGTAGGTAGAGTATAATTACTGTTGAATGATATACTTGAACCATAGACACAAGCTTTTTTGGTAGCTAGCTTAAAAATTAATAACTTTATTCAGATTTTATCAGATTTTATCAGATTTTATCAGATTTTAGAGTTTCTTCTGTAATGGTTGCTTGAAATTGTTCTTTTGTGCTCTTACCAGTGTTTGAATTTATTAGGACTTGAAGACTCATTTCCCTCTGCTTTTTGTATTTAGTCAGTTGCTGAAACCTACTGATTGTGTCTCTGCCATGTTTCCTGTGTTCATTTTCTCCATTCTATATGCTCATATGAAGGATTTCTATTTCCAACCTATACTATTACATTGATCTTGTACATTCTCTTTAGTAACTTATTTCAGACAGCGATATCTATTCTGAGTAAGTCATTCTGAAGTCCTGTTAATTCTTTGTTCATAATCTCTATGCATTCCTCAGAAAACTGCTTCTAACTACATTCCAGGTTCTAGGCTTAACATATATTCAGTCATTGCTCTAACATCGTGGTATTTTACAGAAGTTACTATAATTATAGTTAAAATACTGAACCTGTGTATCTGTTTCCATAACTCAGATTCTTAACACAGTACCTAATTTTTACTAAGTATCTATTAAAAACTTCCTAACATACCATCTAGGGTCCCATTGTGAAAGCAAATTATAATAAGTATTTTCTTCCTTTTTTTTTTTTGGATCAGTCGTGGGGCTTGAACTCTGGGCCTGGGCGCTGTCCTTGAATTCTTTAGCTCAAGGCGAGTTCTCTACCATTTGAGCCACTTCTGGTTTTCTGGTGGTTAATTGGAGATAAGTTTCCTGCCTGGGCTGGCTTTGAACCATGATCCTCAGATCTCAGCCTCCTGAGTCTCTTGGATTACAGGCGTGACTGTCCTGCTTACAATAAGAAATTATTATAAGGGCTGGGAAGGTGGCTCAGTGGTAGAGTGCTTGCCTTGCATGCATGAGGCCCTGGTTTCCATTCCTCGGCACCACATAAGCAGAAAAAAAAAAAAAAAACAGAAGTGGCACTGTGGCTCAAGTGGTAGAGTGCTAGCCTTGAGCTGAAGAGCTGAGGGATAGCGCTCAGGCCCAGAGTTCAGGCCCCACGACCGACAAAAAATAAAAAAAAAAATTAAGAAATTAAAGAGGTTAAAGAATTGAGAAAGCAAAAATGAGCATAATTTCAGAAAGTGAGCTGCTGCTTTTAGGGTGAGGGTAACACAAAGAAGAGGGTTGGTATTAATAGAATGCAGGCTCTTAGGCACAGAGCCCACCAGAACTGGGGCTCATTATTTAGAGGAGGGGATCCTACTGGCAGCACCAGAAACCCTAAGGATTGAATTAAGTGGATTCTGAGTGTCCTTAAAGGGTAAAGACTGGAAACAATGGCTGCTGCCTGGTTTCAGGCAGAGCCAGGCTTAGAAGGCGCCAACATTAGCAGGAAGCAAACAGGAAGGGATAGGCGCTTGTCACTCCAGCCTTTCTTTAGGGAGGGGTGGAGAACCTTTTTTCTGCCAAGGGCCATTTGGATTATTTATAACACTGTTCATGAGCCATACAAACTATCAATACAGGCAGATGAGCTGAGGGCAGCCAACAGAAGTATAAATTGTCCTGTCTAGTACCAAATGATTTTGTAGGACTTACATGTCTCCCCTGTGTTCTAGGGTGTTTCAGATGGGAGCCCAATGCAGTTTTGGAGCTGTTTATGTAATTGTTTCCTTTTCAAACTCTGCCCTAAAGTTCTAGTTGTTTCAGCCTTCCCAACTTTACATCTCTGTCTCCTAAACTGAGCCAAGGGTCTGATGCTCTGCTTAGGGAGCTGTCATGACTAATTCTGAAAGAATTTGTGTTTATTACACTGTCAGCTTTAGAGTATTTATTCATTCAGAATTCATGGAGATTCTGAAGCATGTGAATTAAAACAATGTAAATTCATTTGATTCTTGAGTTATTCTGAATTCCACTGATGATTTTCTTTTGTCTCTAGCTGTTATCGTTAAACCTTCTTAATACTTCATAAATAATTCTTCTGGCATTGTGCTCTCACGTCTAGTATTTCTGTGTGTGTACAGATGTGTTCACTATTATGACACTGTGGATTTAGAATGTGCTGTCAGGGTTTTCATCGGCTCTGAATATAAAATTGAATGATGTTTCATAGCTAATCAGTTCTTAGCAGATCAGAGCTTTTTATCTTTTCTCTGTAATGTACTTAAAGTAAGAACACTTATTAAGCTCTTGCCTCAATGAAAATCTTAGTACTTGACAAAAGTCCCTAGCATAGCTATTCTGGGGCAATCTGATTTGCACATAGTTTGTTAATCCATAGAACATTATTAAAGGGACTTACACTGTAAGAATGTGACTTCTTATGGGAAGTCTCAGAATGTCAAATACACATAGACACACATAGAGGGAGAGAGAGCGCGCACACACACATATCCTTACATACCACATAAAATTTATGCACCACATAAAAATGTGTGTTTCAAAGTATAATGTGTCCTTTAAATTCAGGGAGAGTGCATTTGAGATGAAGACAAGTGAAACCAAAGTTGTTCAATGATAGAAGTATATTCCGAGAAATGATTGTTCGACTGCTTTCCATGTTGTTTGAACATCAGAGTGTATGTAGCAAACAAAGGTGACCATTACGTTCTGGGGTTCTTTTCTATGGGGACACTGCTTTAGATAGTGACTGTTCTTAGCGACATTCTATAGCAGTCATGATACACTGAACTCAAGGCAGCACACAAAGAGGAAGTCATTTAGTCTCCCCAAAATTATAATTTGTGAATTTCATGTTTTGAAATCAAACTTATATGAGAAAAATTGCTTCTGAATTAATTTGTGGAAAAGTTAAGAGTTTTAAAGTTTTTTTTCAAGGAGAGTATTTCTAAATACTCACATGCTGTCTTTGTCACAGTTGGTGGGAAGACCATCCAGTATGAACTACATGGTGGCTCCTGTAACAGGTAATGATGTTGGAATTCGCAGGGCAGAAATTAAGCAAGGAATCCGTGAAGTCATTTTGTGTAAGGATCAAGATGGAAAAATTGGGCTCCGGCTTAAATCAATAGATAATGTGAGTATTTTTTATGTTTATTTGAACTTAAATAACTTATAGAGTATTAGGTGAGAACAAACTTGACACGGAAATTGCTTTTATTGTAATGGAGAACAATAACTGCTACTCCAATCTGTGTACTTGGAGATACCCTATTTTGAGGAGGCAGAATTAGAACTTTTAAGCACATCCTTTGATTTTTCTTTTTTGATACTGAAATAAGTTTTCACCACTGTCCATGTATTTTAAACTACAGTAGATACATCAAAGTTTGTATAATAAGCTCTGGAATCAAAGTGTAGCATTAAAATTTAGGAAAAATGAGAATGAAAGTACATTTTTAAGTTACATGATTACTATTAAACTTAGCAGATGGTTTTAAAGGTTTATTTCTATCTTTACAATTTAAATTTAGCCTGGCACTGGTGACTCACACCTGTAATCCTGTCTACTCAGGAGGCTAAGATCTGGGGATCATGGTTCTAAGCCAACCTGGATAGGAATTACTAAGAAAGCCTGAAGTGAAACTTTGGCTCAAGTAGAGTGCTAGCCTTAAGAAAAAGAAGCTCAGGGACAGAGTTCAAGCCCCAACACCAACCAAAAAAAAAAATTATTTAATGCCATTTTCATAACACATTTCTAATTAGGACAGCTATTACTTTATCTTACGGTCTCTCAACTTCCTATGCTAAAGACACTAAATAGGGTTACTCTGAGAAACATTTTAGAATTGCTAAGGACAGGCTGGATCTTTACCCTTGTTAATGGTTTTAGTCTTTGCCTTGGTCAGTAAGCTTAGCCTTTCACAAAGGAAGTACATGTGGTTCACTGCTTCATCTGAATAGTCCACTGTCCCCCAGAGGGCAGAGGTCAAGTATCTTTGCAAATTCAAGATTACCCAAGACCCATCCCTGACCTCCCTGCCTTCTCTCTTCCTCTTCAGTGAGTACAGTGTATAACTCCGCCGTTCCAGGGCATCTGCATGCTTTTCCTCTGTCCTCAAAAGAGAAGTTACCTCCTGTAGGTCCCTTGCCCCATCACAGTTGTTCTTGCACTAGACTGTCATCTTTAAAACACATTGGTCCATTTCATGGGTGCCACCTAGTTCTTGGCACCTTAGAGCATAACAGAGCCATGACAGAAGCCATGCCCAGGTTAAAAGTTTTAAAGGTCCAGCCTTGAAGATAGGTTTACTCTTCCTTTACGTTGGTCTATATTTGGCTCAACATCTAAATGTCCATAAGTGAGATTTGTATGGGTTTAATTCTTAATGATACTTGATTTCTATAGTTATTTATAATGGATTCTTTGATGCTCATGTTATATTTAATATGCTTATCACTTTAGGCTGTTATACCATAATATTGCTCCATGATTCATAATTTAGCAAACAGTAATCTTTCAGTTCAAAAGGCAGAAGTGTTCCCTTACCAGTGGTAGGGAATCTTTTTTTCTGCTAAGGACCATTTTGGATATTTATTACATTATTTGAAAGCCACGCAAATTATCAAAACATGCAGATGGGCCACAAGCAACTATCAAGAAGCATTTCATGTTTGCTCCATGATGGTTACCAAATAATTTTCCCATTTCTGAAGCTTAAGCTGTCATTTTTGTAAAACAGTGCAAGAATTCAACACACTTAACACTTCACTTTCCACCAGAGTAATGATCATGTGATGATACCTATTTGGTATTCTACCAGACTCCTAATGGTTCATGTTTTGTAAAGTCACCCCTTTATATATTCCTTGGTTCTTTAATTCTCAGGTGAGAAGAGATTGTAGTTGGTCAGGTGAGTTATGGCTTGGGTAAATTTCTTGTTTCATTCTTTGGGGTTGTGGTAATTTTTTCAGTTCGTTAATACATCATATTCTCTATTTTTGTTTATCTTGTGTGCTGAGAGTTCTAACCAGCATTTTAATCACATCCTATCATTTTACACTGTATAATAACAATGGTAAATGACAGTTATTTCCTCATTTTCTAGGGTATATTTGTTCAGTTAGTTCAGGCTAATTCTCCAGCTTCATTGGTTGGTCTGAGATTTGGGGACCAAGTGCTCCAGATCAATGGTGAGAACTGTGCGGGTTGGAGCTCGGACAAAGCACATAAGGTGCTTAAACAGGCCTTTGGAGAGAAGATCACGATGACCATTCGTGATAGGTAAGCTGATATTCAACATTTCCAATGGAAATTCAAGACCAGATTTCCATTTTCTTGGGAAAACCCCTGAAAGCTTCTGTAAATAATAGTATTTTTCTTTTTGCAGAAAATGACAAAATGCTATTATTGATGAACCTTACAGTTTTACAGTTGTTTTGTACAGATTTTGCTTACATAGTTTTTTTTTAAGAGTTCTGATTTTGCAATACTTTATTTCACACTTTATAAGAATTTGTTCTTTAAACAAATTTTCCTTTTTTTAAATTTCTAGAAAGTAGAAAATGTGTGTTGAAGAGGTTACTCAAGCTGTCAGAAGTAACCTCACTTTGCAACATCCTGGGTAAACATCCCATAGCCTAGAGTGTCCACATGCCGTGCCAGGGTCCCTCACTGAGTCTAGAAGTTATAAAATCCAAATCTGGCCTCCTGGGTAGTTGTGAAACTAGTTGTCCAGGATAATGCATTCTGGGTAGCGGTTCTAGTTAGATGTTTATTAGCACATGAAAGAGGGGCCTCTAGTTACGTTCTTTTCCAGCCCCCCACAAGTACTGAAGTGAAACTGTACCACAGTGCTACAGTAAATTTTGGAGTTTTGGCTTTTCTAACTTTATTTAAATTTTGACTTAGTATTTCTATTTTCCCTTCCTTCCTTCCTTCCTTCCTTCCTTCCTTCCTTCCTTCCTTCCTTCCTCTTTCTCTCTCTCCTTCCTCCCTTCCTTCCTTCCTCCCTCCTTCCCTCTCGTCCTCTTGTCCTGGAGCTTGAACTCAGGGCCTGGGTACTGTCCCTGAGCTTCTTTTGCTAAGGTTAACACTCTATACCACTTGAGACATAGCACCACTTCTGGCTTTTTCTGTTTATGTGGTACTGAGGAATTGAACCCAGGGCTTCATGCATGCTGGGCTAGCACTCTACCACTAAGCCAAATTCCCAGCCCTGTATTTATATTTTCTTATACATTTCATTCAGTAAACATTTTATAGAAGAATATTATTTTTGCTTTATTTCTAAGCAGAATTTAAGAGTAAGTTGGACCAACAGCCAACAAATATAGTTGTTCTGGATTTCTCATGTAAACACTACTTAATGGTGAGATTTTATAACACAATGACAGTCACAGAGAAATGAACAAGTGTAATTGGGTGACTTTTTTTTTTTTTGTCTGTTGTGGGGCCTGAACTCTGGGCCTGGGCACTGCCCCTCAGCTCCTCAGCTCAAGGCTAGCACTCTACCACTTGAGCCACAGCACCACTTCTGGCTTTTTCTGCTTATGTGGTGCTGAGGAATCGAACCCAGGGCCTCATGCATGCAAGGCAAGCATTCTACCACTGAGCTATCTTCCCAGCCCCCATGGAATTATATTTTTTAACTCACCTGCTCTGTTACATTTGCAGACCCTTTGAACGGACAGTTACTATGCATAAAGATAGCAGCGGACATGTTGGTTTTATCTTTAAAAATGGAAAAATAACATCCATTGTAAAAGATAGTTCTGCAGCCAGAAATGGTCTTCTCACTGAACATAACATCTGTGAAGTCAACGGGCAGAATGTCATTGGATTGAAAGTAAGGATGAACTGCTTTTGCTGCAGTTTTACATGTTGCAGCTTTCTCACTGATCTCTAAGTACAGAAACTTAGTAGGGGGTGCAGAAAGTTATTCAGTCTTAACAAAATGCAGAAGATACTTTTCAGAATGTACTAATGCTTTTCCTTTTTAAAAAATAATGAAGATTGTTACAAGCTGAAAAATTGTATTCTGTAGAGTTAAACCTGGACATATAAGTTGCAGATTTCTTATACCAATTAGAGTTCCACATTTATGAAATAAAGCCTCAGCAAAATTCACTTTCTCTTTGTTTTCATCAGGACTCTCAAATCGCAGACATCCTGTCCACATCTGGGACTGTCATCACCATTACAATCATGCCTGCTTTTATCTTTGAACATATTATTAAAAGGTAAGTAGGTGATTCAACTTGATACAGTTTAGTATGTGACATCATATACACTCTATTTTAATTCCTGAACCTTTTTTTTTTTAACCTACGGAATGGCTTTGGTATTTATCTAACAGTTGGAGACTATTTAAATCAGGATTGGGTTGGTAATAAGGATCTATCTTTGCAAGTATGAAGTAAAATTTACCATATCCTTGATAAATGTTGAGAATGCCCAGCTAAAAGAAAAGGTACTGAGGCTGCTATTTGTATATAGCTGACAGCCATAACTGCTTTCATTCCTTTGTTCAGTAGGAATGTAGCCATGGGGGTTGGAGGTGGAGATTTCTTGACTGGGGAGTTGGAGCATTGTCTTATATTCCAGCACTTCAGAAGGCAGGGAGAAGTGTGCAGTGCTAACTGCCCTCGAGAACTGAGGACAATTTAAAAAGCTAGCAAGGGCTGGCTGCTTCAAAGCTTTTCAGACAGTTGCTTTTGGCACAGTGTGTTTCTACTAAGCCAAGTTGGACTCCTCCTTTGGTTTTCTGTTTTGCAGGTAGAAATGATATTTTAAAAATTCACGAATATAACCCTTGTAATCAAAGTTTCATTGGTGTTGGATTTTGTAGAACATACTAGCCCCTCTTAGACTAAAGTTACTGTTAAGACTAATTGTTCTAGAGTTCTCTTAAGCCACTGCCTGGTCCTTGTTCTTCCATTTCCTCTCAAATTCATCACCGCCTATTTTTTAATATGTAAATTTACTTTGGTGTATTAGGAAGTAAACCCAGATCTATGCTTGCTTGCTTCTACCACTTGAGCTATACCACCAGCCCTTCTGATTGTTTTTGAAACAGGTTTTCCCAGGCTAGCCTCACACTCCCCATTCTACTGCCTGTCTATACCTTGAGTGCCTGTATTATAGGCATACACCACCACGCTTGTTCTTTTCTTTTTCTGAACCGGGAATTTAACTCAGTCTCACATTAGCCAGGTGGGTACTTTACCACTTGAGCCATGCCTCTGGCCACTTTTTGCATTATTTTTAGGATAGAATCACTTCATGTCAGGGCGAGCCTGGGCTGCTGCCTTCTTTCTTGCTTGTGTTACCTCCAGTTGCTGGGGATGTATGTATCAGTGTGTGTCGTCTGTAGCTGGGATATGTACACACCACTGCACTTAGCCACTTTTTTTTTTTTGGGGTCCCGTCATGGGGTCTGAACTCTGGGCCTGGGCTCTGTCCCTCAGCTCTTCAGCTCAAGGCTAGCACGCTACCACTTGAGCCACAGTGCCACTTCCAGCTTTTTTCTTTTTTTTGTTTATGTGGTGCTGAGGAATCAAACCCAGGGCCTCAGGCATGCAAGGCAAGTGCTCTACCACTGAGCCACCTTCCCAGCCCCTTAGCCATTGTTTTAAGATGGAGTCTAATGAACTTTTATGCTCAGACTGATCCCCCGACTTCTGCTTCCCAAATAACCAGGTTTGTAAGCTTAAGCTTCTTAATCACCAGTCTTAATGCACAAGGACTCGTTCCCTATTTCACTTGTTTATCCATGATACAAATAGCTGTTCACACTATTTGCCAGATTTTACATTACCAGAGACTCTTGGTCTCAGCTCATATTTTAAAAAGGGCTTTTATTCCCTAATCTTGATACTAACCTGGAATTTTTGTTTTCTTAGATTTATATAACCTTTTGAAAAGAAACTTCAGTATATAATAGAAGTGATTCTTTTGTAGGATGGCTCCAAGCATTATGAAAAGCTTGATGGATCACACCATTCCTGAGGTTTAAAAGTCAAACAGCATAATTGTAGTTGAACTTCAGCTTCCTTCTTCAGCAACTCCTGCATTATGCACACGAAGCTTTCCAGAGCCAGGGAGCATATGCTGCATGGGGACCTGTCTGTATACCATGGCTGGAGTCTTCCTGTTTCACCTGGTATCTTCAGATTTCAACATAGTTGTAGCCTTATCCTGACTTTATGGATGTGAAACTTTCAAGAGATTTACTGACTCCTAGAACAGTTTCTCTACTGGAAACCTGACACTTTTCTTTCATAAGCCATTGTGATTAGGATGACTGATGCAAGCTTAGCCTTGTGTGAGAGACCAATCACCTTTCTCCTAGGTGATGCGTAGTACTGTTCCTATTACTTTAGTTGTGTTTATTTGCATTTCAACACATTACCCATAGTACACTTAGGATGACTGCAGTTCTGGGTGTGTGTAAACTACCAATTAAGTTTCTGATTTCATTCTATGTAAGCATTATACAGTGTATGTAGTATGCAAGGGATTGTAAGGATTGTTATTAAATTTTAACTACCTTCACTTAACCAATATGCTTCAACTGTCGCCTTAACTATGTTAAGCATTTAGAATTAAAAAGCCAAATGGTTATTGCTGCCTTTCTAAAACACAGAATGTTAGTTCTATGTTAAACTGAAATGTCCAGAACAATTGAATGGTACTTACTGAGCTATAACATAGCTGCTTAGCTGTATTTTGAGATTTTGTAGTCACTGCATAATGGAAACTTCTTGTAAAAGTTGCCACTATCACTTTCTGAACAAATCACTATATATTTAATGCAGAACTTCTTATACTAAATAGGATAAACCCTAAGCTCCTTTTTTTCATTTGTAGATTGAGTGGGGTAATTCATTATGTAACTTAGCTACTTTGCAATGGTTTTGCAATGGTATCCTAGTATTTGTTCCAGTTTCCACCCTCCAAACAAAACATTGCAATAACTCTCCTGATTATTTTTCTTTTGATTTATGTCTATCCTGATTTAATTAAATGTATATAAATAAAGTTACATTTTAGTCTGTTGTATCATTTGGGGACTTTGCCATCACCTCACTTGTGCTTGCTTGCTTTGAACATGAGCATGTGAACCTGTGCAGCTGTAGCAGTCTTCTCCCCAAGATGTGACATCTGGGGCCCTGAGAACAGCTGGAGCTGAGAGACTAGAAGTGTGCTGAGAGTCTAGAAATGTGCTGCCAGCAGAGTGGCCCAGCTCTAGATGGCCAGTGTGAGTTACTGGTTCACCTGTGAACCTCAGGCTATGCAATATGTGCTAACAAAGTCTTTGAAAATTCATTTACTTCTATCTGATCCATGAATTTTCCTTATGTCACACTGCCTACAAAATAAATAGGGATACAGATTGACCCATTGCAACAATGAGATGTACAAGACACTATGTTGAAAAACGACTTTACAATTTAGGTGTGGGTGGAGAGGTGGGGGGTTGTAGTTGAGGTAGGAGGGACAGGATGGTAGGGGAAAAACAAAGGAGAAGGCAACAATATTGGGTAAGAAATGTACTCATTACCTTGCTCATGTAACCGTAACCCCTCTGTACAGTATTTTCACAAAAAAAAAACATTTAAAAAAAGGATAAAACAGTGCTTGTAAAGAGTACAGAATATTTAAAAATCACATAATTAACTATGATTCAGACTGAATATGAGAAAAAAGCCTGTCTTGCATGGAACATTTTCCAGTTAGATTATCTCCCTTCATATCTGCACTTGGGTCTAAAAATACTTCACAAGTAGTGGAATATTATAGTCATGTTGTTAGAAAAGATCAAGTGGAAGAAAGATATTTCCTAACAATGTTACTACATGTGGTTTTCTAGAAGGATTAATATTTGCAGTCTTAAATCTTAGTCTAATAATTTAAATAAAAAGAAAACTGCTTTCATTACAGAAAAATATTTTTAATGTAGAAAAGATGAGCATTTAATAGCTTAATGAAATACAAACGGTTCCCTTACACAGTGAAACTGTTAAGAACTGCTAATCTTTTCCCAGGTTCTTAGAATCTGGGTACAGCATTATAGAAAGTAACCATTCCATTAACACACACCCACCAAACCAATGGCAGCAACTGTAACAGATTAGGAAGACCAGAGTGACTCCAAAGTGGCAGAGGACATGATATACTTTCTTGGAAAGTTCTAAGCTGTTCAGTTATCTCTTAAGCTTCTCTCTGACCAGTCTTCTAATTACCATCACACTGGGACAGTCGTCGATCTTAAAACACCGTGTTCTCTCCTAGCTATTTTACCTGCTCTAGAAGATGGCAACAAATGGCTTTCGATGAAGTCACCACGATTCAGAAAGTCTGAACCCACAAACTTTCCATGTGGTGGCAAGACTTCGAATTAATATCATTGCACATTCACCAGTTCATTTAAACATTTGGTTTAAAATACCAAACTCTAAGGTAGAGTTGACTGTAACACTCAGAAGTGGAAAAGGAGCTGGGCGTCGGTGGCTCACACCTGTAATCCTAGCTACTCAGGAGGCTGAGATCTGAGGATCACAGTTCAAAGCCAGCCCGGGCAGGAAAGTCTGTGAGACTCTTACCTCCAGTAATCCACTAGAAAACCGGAAGTGGTGCGTAGCTCAAGTGGTAGAGCGTTCACCTTGATCTGAAGAATGCAGGGATATATGCCCAAGCCCAGAGTTCAAGCCCCACAACTAACCAAAAAAAAAAAAAAATGGAAAAGGCACTTAATATTGCAATTTCCAGAACATAATTTGTCTGTCTTCCCCTCCTGTGATGATACTGCTACACTGTTCATTCATCCATATGCATGTTACAGCACCTGAGAGAAAAACAAATGTTGGTTAGGAAGGAATGAAAAAAGGTGGCAAAAATATACTGTGAGGCTCATTCTTGCTAGGAGTTTGCAGAGAAGAGAATTGACCTCTTCAACTTTCTTATAATTCTTGTGTAAATTAAGTGCTTAGTACAGAGAACTTGAAAAGAATAAGCCATTGATATGTCTAAAGCTTAAAAAGTATAGATGTACTGGTACAGCATGGAATGCACTGGTGTACAACAGAAGTCAAAGTGATCAATAACCATGTGCTGATTTACCTCCTGATGAGTGAACTAGAGCTAGTAAAGCTACTCATTTAAGAAGGAAAGGCATAGATGTGTAGTTTAAGAAGAAATAACCACACAAAACCACATGATAGAAAGTGAAAAGATAGGAAGCAACTAACTGCTGACTGCTAAAAATGCAGAGGTTGACAGTTGAAACTAGAATAAAAAACTCAAAAAGAATTCAAATGATTGGGAGGAAAGCATGCAAATGTCAGCAGAATAAAAGTGAATCCACAAGGTGTTATTAAAGTAAAAGGGCGGAGCAGCTTTAATGATGCTTTGTGTAGTATGTAGTTCTATCCACATACACCATTGGATATATGACCACACTACACATCTAGAATATTATAATAAGAGTCCACAGTGTGGCATCAGTAAATCTTATCTTGAACCATTTAAAAGATCACCCAGCCAACACTACTCAAGGGAAGTCTTCAGAGCCTAAAGAATGTGTGAAGTGTTTTCTGTCTGACAAGAGTGCTTCCTGGATGGAAAAGGGCTTCTCAGCAAGAAGGACCAAGATAACTACACACTACCTGTGTGGCCCTGTATTCGCTCACTGATTCGGGCTCCAAGAAGGTCCCAAACGAGCAGCTCACCAGACTGACTTCCAGATAAAACAGAATTTCCATCCCAGATGAAGCACCTGCAAGAATGATTAGAATAATCTGTTTAGCATCATGAAGGAAAGAGTATGTTACACTGGTCAAATAAGCCCTCACGAAATAACCAAGAAGGTGCTGGGAAATGTCTTCACCATTGCAGGAACTATACCTCTGGGGCTCTTCTGATGTCATGGTGGAGATAAGCATTCCTGTCTGCACATCGATCACCTTTAGACAGCCATCTGCTCCTGTGCTGAGGACATGGCGACTGTCTGCAACAGGAGGTGAGACACAGGTGTGGAGACAGCCTTAGAAAGTGCTTTAGGAAAAACACATGCACCAAGTCCTAGCACCCCCCGCATGGCGTTTCACCAACTCCACAGAAGGAATGGTGTCTCCTACTGAACCAGGATCTCGCTTTCTTAGATAGTTTTGCAAAGTGAATGAACCTGCACAGGACTGTCAGTGGTAGGGAAGTTACACTGTAATAGACGACTTAAAGTAGTAGCAGCCATTTCACGGAACTCAAGTTGTTCTTCCTCCAATAGGCTTATCACCTGGATGCCCCAGCTCCTTCTGAATCTCAGTGCACATTTGAATAATCCTCAGCCTATTGAGATGACTGTAAAAAAGACCTTATCCCTTTTGTACGTTCTTGCCCCATGGTATAACCTCTGTTTTCACTGTATTTGATTCCAGTGCCCTGCATCTTGTGTGTATATATATACATATATATATACATATATATATATATGTATATATATATATGTATGTATATATATATATGTATATATATATATTTCTAATTTGGGGAGGGGAAGGGAAAAAACAAAATGCTGAAACAAGGATACAGGCTGACCCATTGTAACAATGAGATGTACAAGATACTATGTTGAAAATGAACTATTCAACTTGGGGGTGGGGGAGGGAGGAGTTGGTGAGGTGGGGAGTGAAGGGATGGTAGGGGAAAAACAAAGGAGGAGGTGACAGTGCTCGATAGGAAATGTACTCAATACCTTACTCATGTAACTGTAACCCTTCTGTACAGTATTTTTACAATAAAAATATATACAAAAAAGCACTTTAGACCTTTTGTGAGATTTTTTGAGGTTTTGTGTCAGTTTTCCCTTACCCCCTGTACTTAAGCAATGACTATACTCCTTGAAATGCTGCTTCTGTCTGTTCCTGAGACCCAGGGATGAGATGACCCTTTGGTATGAGCTCATTTACATCTTATTCACTAATTTCTCTGATGAGAAGAATGACACTCCAATTCTGCCATTCTACAAGGAACCAATGCCACAAGTATGCAGTATCTTGGCACAAACAGGCTTAGTTATAGACAAAATCTCTTACCTGCAAGCCTTTTAAACATTGTTATTGATTTAAAACTTAAGTTGACCTACTCTGATACTTACCTGGGCTAAAAGCAGTATCACATACAGTCTTTGAATGGCATGAAATCTGGTGCAATAAAGTGGCAGTGGTGAGGTCCCAGATATTCACTATGCCTTCTTTGGTGCCTGAAGCCAATAGTGTGCCTACAGCATTTAAACTGATTGTATCTACCTAAGGAAGAATACAGCAACAAATATCCACTTAGAATCAATGGTCATTAGATCTGCTCTCCTACGCTGATTCAAATAGCTGGTCACAAGGGCACAGATAAAACTACTGTGCAGTTAAATATGCTGCTGTGGCTAATTTAGGTGTATTTCGTCCTTTTGCATGACATAAAGTACTTTCAATAGGCTTGTGAATATAGAGCAACAATGAAAATGAAGTAGTACTAGGGTAACTGCAGCACTGTTTTCAAATAGCCTAAAGCTGACCTCAGAAAACTATGAACAATTTAGTATAGTGAGATGCCAAACTATTTGAGGGATTTGTGGATTGAAATTATACTTGTGGAACACTTGAAATTAAATGCTAAATATTTCTGTTAGTTTGATGACCATAAAAATTAAGTATCAATTCAGAGTCTTAAGATGCAGCAGTTCTGTTTTAGCTGCCACTAAGCTGTGCACACTTGGCCGTTCTAGCCAGCAGGTTACTGTCCTTGGGAGGAGCATCTTATGGGCAGGTGGTCCCCTCCACCCCTCAGGTCAGGAAATAAAGGATGGCAGGGCTCACCTTAAAATGGATGTTTTAAAAATCAATAGTGGGTTAGAAGCTAATTCTTTAAACACACACACACACACACACACACACACACACATACACACACACACACCCCAACACATACACACACACCCCAACACACACACACACACCCCAACACACACACACACACACACACACACCCCAAAAGGGAA